TCTCCTCTCATTCAATCAGGGCACCCCATCCCTCCTCCTCACATCCTCAGCCGGACTCCTCGCCTGCCACCGACCAGAGAGATATGGCCTAGTGCCCTCCCTGCCAAACTCCGGAACAAAGGAGGCTAGTTGGCAGCCCAGCCTAGCCAGCCAGCTCGCCCCGCACGCCCCAATTCAGCGCGATCAATGAACGTGGCTCTCCTCTAAGTGCCGAGCGAGCCAAACCTGCCTACCAGTTTCCTCTTGTGACATTCGCGACGCTAAATACGATTTCTCGACGGTGGTGCGAGGTGGGTGGGTAGATGGAAGAATTTTTGGTTTTGTTTTATGTTCGGGTACGGCAGGGTGCGCAGCGAGGGGTGGGGTGGGAAGAAATGTTACGAGTATACCATCATTCTGTTCATTTACCTGATTTTTAAAACGTGCATTATAATAATTATTGCTAATCATCACCACCACCATCATCATCATTGACTCATCAAATAATAGGTTGTCTGATCGATTGATCGACTAGTCGTTTTAATGGATGTTTAAAGATTGATTGATTAGATAATGACGGATAGGCTTACTGATTTCTCAGAATCCGTGTATTGATTTTATATTACGTGTCACGAAGCGATGGAATCAGATGCTCGTCAATTTTGGGCATATGGGTTTATTGACATCACCTTAAATCTTGTTCGTTTGTTTTGCTTTTTATTTTGATGACAAAAAATACAAATCTTTCTTGAAAATAAGTTAAGATATTTGCAATGGAAGGAGGTGGGGTTCGCCTGGTGTCACAGGTAAAATTCGAGTTAAAATTTTAAAGGCTGCAAAAGTAGTCAGTGATTTCCAAAGCTTGAGAATTTTTAGAAACTGCAAATATACATTTTTCTTGCCTTGGATCAACGTTTTTGCAGTATAAATTTAAAAAAAGTTATGTTTTTATATGGACACTGTATAGGCCCATTATGTAAATTATCTAATCTCATTCGCAACTTCTTTTTTGTGCAGGACTCCATTCCTTTGTCATACTTTTTTTATAACCTCGCAGGCGCACAGTAGGCTCAGAAGGTATAATGTAGAACTGAAATGTGGATGACTGTGTTTCAAATACCCAAGAGAAGAGAGGAATTTCACCCCTCCCCCCCCC